TCTGGGAGCCCAGGATGCTCGAGAAGCTGTCGGTGAGGCTCTTGATCTCCAGCAGCAGGAGGTGGTGAAAGGAGTGCTCCATGTTGGCCAGCTGGTTCACCAGATACAGCAGGGAGGCTCTGGCTCGCTCCTGGGCAGCGTGGGGAGATAAGAACAGGGCTGAACACACGAATTCATTGTTTGCTGCTCTCAGGGGTTTGTGTGCTGGTTCTGAGTCACCGTCCCTGGGGAAGAGTGGCTGCCCCACCATGGCACAGGCAGCTGCCTCAAACACAGCTTATTTGTGGTTACACTGAAGTGACTTTTGTTCCTCTTGGTGTTACCTAACCCAGCCTAACTCAGGACATCTTGTCTCCTCCTCAGACCTAAGCCAGATCCCTGAAGGCTTGTTAAGGGCCCTGCATCCCTCTGGGTTGGTGGATCAGCCTGGCTCAGTGACCAGGGCCCCAGCAGCACCAAGCTCCCCTTTCACCTCAGCTACTCCATAAAACCAGAGAATCGTTTGGAAGGGACCTCAGAGACCACCCAGTCCCACTCCTGCCATGGACAGGGACACCTTCCACAGGTTGCTCCAAGCCCCACCAACACCTCCAGGAATGGGGAACATCCAGCTGGATCTGAACATCTCCAATTTAGGGCTCTTCTGTTAGAGTTCTCCTCTCCTCAATTAGATTGGGTTCCACAGCCCTAAAACCATCCAAGTGGGAAAAATAGTGGAAAAACCAGGAATTCACTCAGGAACTCCCATCAGATCCTTCACTGGGGGAATCCTTTCACTCAGGGAAGCCCACTTGGTCCTCAGCAGATTGATGGAGAAACTGGGAGATGTTTGGATTTCAGCCTGCGCTGAAACACAAACAAAGGCAGAAAAACAAACAGCTTTCCTCTTCCCAAGGGCCAGCAGGGAGCTCATGTGCCACGCACGTGCTCTGGGCTCTGCAGGGTCCCAGCCCCATTTCCTCCTCTCTTCTGGGACCTCGTAACCAGAGAGCAAAATCTGCTGAAAGGTTGATTCCAGACCCAGCTGGGCTGTAAAAATACCCGGGAGGCTTTGGCAGGACACGGCCCGGCATCACGGGCGAGGCTTTTTTTGAAGAGCAAACCAACGTAATTGAAGGAAAGGCAGCTCTGCCATGACAGAGACAAATGGCAGGAGTGGATCAGACAAACTGCACCCCTCCAGCCATATGGGGGAAAGCTCCAGCTACACCCTGGGCTGGGCTGATGTGAGCAAGGTTTTTCCTCAATGGCTTGGACGAGGTTGACTCTTTGGTGCACGGTTACTCATTTATTTGAAAGCCGATCCTTCCTCCAAGAGATAAACAGAGGCTCAATTAACATTTAAAACACATTTTTGTTTTCTAAACAAACTGTGCAGCAGACTAAATGGAGGAGCAGTTTTGACCATTTTCCTGTCACTTTGATCCAGCTGGAGAGTCTCCAGCCATGCTGAAATGCTGCTACTCGCCTGGAGTGAGGTAAAAGAACAATAAACTCGCCTGAGTAATATAATATGTAACTGTTATACAAAACAAAATTACAGCAAAACAGCTCAACATGAAAGCAGCCGTTATCCCTGCCACAGCTCTAATCCAAAATGTTTCACAAAGCCTATTTGGATGCACATAACCCCTTGTTATTTCAGCAATGCCTGTTTGATGTATTCGCGTATTTTCTCGTAAGCAGCCCTTGCATTTTATGGCATTACATCTGCCAGAAGGTGAGGAGCTAAAGCACAAGCAATGAGGTGTGGCAAACTGTGCTTTTTTCTTAAAAACAGGTTCAGGAGACTACAAAAAGATCACAAGGCTTTCAGAAATAACTCCAGCTCCCAGGGGGTTCAAAACATAGGGGAAAAAAATAAAGTGTCCGCCTGCCCTGAGCCCCAAGATGGTTTTTCATTTGCACAAGTTTATGGTTAAGGGACAAGTTCTGACTCCAGCTTGCCCCCAAGAGCGTGGCTGACACCAGCAGAAGTGGTGTGTGTAAACAAGGGGCAACCTTTCAATTCCAGAGCTTTCCTCTCTCCCGGGGTCCCTGGAAGCACAGGAGGCTTTTTCTAGGAGCCAGCAAGGATTTGCTGCTCAGATCCACAGTCTGGACCATGCAGGGCCAAGCCTCAATCCTTGCCACCTCTTTCCCCCGGGCAAGCCTTCCAGTGAAATAAAACATCAACAAATAGAGTCCCAGCACTGCCGTTGATGTCTCCTTGCCTGCTTGTTTTGCTTGGCCGGGCAGGGGACGCTGATTCCTGTCTGGGAAGTGACAGAACATCCACGGCACGCTCCTGTCAGGACAGGGCAGAGGGGACAGGGGACCAGGGAGGGCTGGGAAGGGCCTGGCACAGGGGCTGTGAGAGGGGACCATCAGGGGCACACGTGGGTTGGTGGTGGGACTCGATGGTCCTGGAGACTTTCCCAGCCTGGCAGAATTTATGATTCCATGATCTCACCTCTGCTCAGGAATCAGCCATGGAGGCATTTCCTTCCCCTCTTAGGTGAGTGATTATTTTTGTATGAGCAGCTTAGCCAGGGTCTGGAGCAGCCTGGGGTAGTGGAAGTGTCCCTGCCCATGGCAGGGGAACGGGATGAGCTTCAAGATCCCTTCCAACCCAAACCATTCCGTTACTCTAAGATCTTCCATAATTCAGAATTATTCACACTTCCTAACCTTTTAGAGAACAAAACAAGAGAGGAGCCGTTGATCTCCTGGTGGAACATTCACCTCTGCCACCCTCTGTGTGTTGTCTTTATCCCTGTTTTTGAGTCTGGAGCACAGGGTCCCTGGATGTCAGTGACAAACACAGCAAACAAATGACAAATGTGTCCTCCCAAGGGCTGGGATGCTGCTGAGCCAGCACTTCCCAAAAAATCACTCATGGCACGGGACATGGTGAGAGCTTTCTCAACATTTACTCCAGGGAGACTGGGCATTAGTTACTCAGTGCAGGCTGTGTGTGCTCCACTCAGTAGATTGGTGCAGCCACATAAAGCAACAGGTTAAAAACACGGGGGGAAAATATTCTTTGAATCGTGTCTTTGTAAACTTCACTCTAGTGTGTGATTTCCAGCACTACATGGAATCCAACAGGGCCAGTTGGTTCCTCACTCATTCTTGGTTTGGTATAAAACAATCACAGCAACAAAAGGCAAAATAAATAAATTCAGGCCCTTTGAAGTAGCAGAACTCAGCGGAAATGGAGCCTCAGAAACACCCAGATGGGGAGAGCTGCTTCAACACCCCAAAACACAGAATCCAAATGAAATCCTTCAGTTCTGAGCCCAGCTGTGCTCAGCTGAGGATTGGCTGGTTAGCAACCGTAAAGTTTCTAGAAAATGCTGACACTCAAGTACTAAACACAGAATTAAATGTGGTCACCTGCAGGTCTTATAAAAGTAAAACTTGCTGGGGGATGGAAGTAAACAAGGAGAGAACAAAAAACTTCATTTGGCTCCCAGGCCTCAATGGGATTTTGGCTCCTCTTACCACACAACAGAAATAAGATTTATGAAGCCAAACCAAATCTGGTTTTGATTCTTCTGAGATAAATTTAATTTTACATGAATGCAAAGCTCCAGATCAGTAGAAACAGCGAGGATGGGGTCTTCCTGTGCTGCTCAGACACACGAGGAGGCCCAGCCAATACACACCCAAATATATTGCCAAAGGGGAAGGAGTGGAGTAAGATCATCTTTAGATCCCTCCCGACCCAACCCATTCCATGATTCCATGGCAGGGCAGTTGGGTTACTAGATAAGAAATATGTGGATGCATTACTTTGTATGAGAATAAAACCAACCCCAAGCCCAAATCCAAGCAAATCCTCTTGTTTCCCACCTTACCTCATCGAGATGTCCAACAGCTCCAAAGATCTTTGCTGTCTGCCCAATCAAACTGGGAAAACTCTCCCCAATTTCCCTCAGCGAGGGAAGGAAAGGGGCCAAGGCTGCAGGTTCGTAGCTGGATATTTCCAGAAGGATGTTTAGAATCACCTCGCTGTGGTTGGGGTCCCTCAGGTGTGCAAATAAAAATGGCAAACACTCTCTCAGCACCTGTTAAAAAACCAGAAACAAATTGGATCTCTGGTTTGAATTGTGAACACATATAACCAGAGGAGATACAACCACCAGAGTGATAAAAACAAGCCACCAGACTGAGTTAATAGAAGTTTTCTACCCTTGGTGACCTTTGCATGGAGCTATCACTGAGGTCAATCCAAGTTCAACAGAACATATGGAATAAGGGTAAGCTCTACTTTAAAATATGGCAGTTATGCATAAATAAGTAAGGAAATGCCCCATTAAAAAAACAAAACAAAAACCACCTTTACTAAATATTTTCCCTGCTCCAGGCCAGTCTATATTTTATTGATTAAAACAACATAAGACTCAGCCTGCCTCAATAATACAGTAAATTAAAGTACTTGTAGAAATTTGTGGGTTCCACCAGAAACTAAACAATGTGACAAGGTCAGGAGCTGGAATAGAGGGAAAAATGGGGGGCAAGACCCCATTGCATAAGGTAAATTGTCATTTCTTGTAAGAACCCAATTTTCAGGAGACTGAGGGTGTAGTGCTGAGAGCCACCTGCCAAACAGGATGCAGTTGTGTACTGAGGGATTAATTCAGGGTACACAGGCACACTAATGCACCCTGGATTCAGGGAAACTGATGCAGCTGTGGAAAAGACATTCAGACACAAACACGGGGTAAAAAACAACCCCTTCTTCTGTTCTTTTTTTTTTGGGGATTATCAGTTCTCATCAGTTCCTAAATCATTTTAATTGTGCTTGACATGGGTTTTAATACAGTTCATGTATACTGACAGAAACACAGTAATGGGAATTCACACTCAGCTGACAGAGGAAGAGCCAAAAACACTGGAGACAAATGGTTTAACCCAAACCTTTTGGTCCAGCAGAGTCTTTGCTCTGTTCTCCTTATGCCTAGTGGAGAACTTGGGATGGAATTAGAGAATTGACAGGGAATTAGCACAGGAAGGCACTGTGGTGTTCACAGGGGTCCCAGGATGACAGAAGAGATGACAATCTGACTCCATTTTCAGAAGGCTTGAGTTATTATTTTAGGATATATATTATATTAAAACTATACTAAAAGAATAGAATGAAGGATTTCATCAGAAGGCTTGCAAGGAAAGGAGAGAATGGAATGATAACAAAATCCTGACTGACCAGCAAGTCTTAAACAGCCAGACTGTGATTGGCCATTAATTAGAAACAACCACATGGGCCAATC